GGGCCCTGTGCTGTGTGTGTGTGGGGAGGGCTCAGCTGGACGCTCTCCCCAGCCGTCAGTGCTGGCCCCAGCGCAGAGCTGGGGGCCCTGTGCTGTGTGTGTGTGGGGAGGGCTCAGCTGGACGCTCTCCCCAGCCGTCAGTGCTGGCCCCAGCGCAGAGCTGGGGGCCCTGTGCTGTGTGTGTGTGGGGCGGGCTCAGCTGGACGCTCTCCCCAGCTGTCAGTGCTGGCCCCAGTGCCCCAGCGCAGAGCTGGGGGGGCATGTGCTTGGCGGGGGGATTCTGTGTCCCTTGCTAGGAGCTGTGTGGGGGAGGAGTTTGGCTGGAGCACTGTGCTGTCTGCATTTTGACCCCCCCCTTCCTCTCCCAGTCCCATTTCATGCAGTGCACAGAGGAAAACGTGGACTTCGAGGGGGTGGATTGTGAAGTGTTTGAGTCACCTGTGCCCATGACCATGGCCCTGTCTGTGCTGGTCACCATCGAGATGTGCAACGCCCTCAACAGGCAAGGACCCCTCCCCGCCCCCTCCCCCCTCCCCCCGCCCAGCCCCCCCTCCACTCTCTGCCTCTCTCTCTGCACAGCCTGTCTGAGAACCAGTCCCTGTTGCGCATGCCGCCCTGGGTGAACATGTGGCTGCTGAGCTCCATCTGCCTGTCCATGTCCCTGCACTTTGTCATCCTCTACGTCGACCCTCTGCCCGTAAGTGTGGCCCTGCCGAGGTGGCTGTGCAGCGCCGTGCGCAGGCGGGGGAGGGGGCAGCGTTACTCTCACCCACTAGTGGTAGAAGGTCCCATCTGCTCCCTCCCCACCCCAAGCACTGCTCCCCAGGGCTGTGGCATTCCCCTTCTCCAGGCTCGTGTGCCCCTGCCTTGTTCTCCCCATGATCTCCTCCCCCCTTTGCTCTCCCCCCCAGATGATCTTCAAACTGACACCCCTGGACCTGACCCACTGGCTCGTGGTGCTGAAGATCTCGTTCCCTGTCATCCTCCTGGATGAGGTGCTGAAATTTATCGCCCGGGACTACCTGGAAGGTAAGGATGCATCCCTGCCATGGGGCAGGCCTGGGTAGCCTGGCCCAGCTGCAGCCCCACAGGAGGCTCCCAGCAGGATTCACCAGCTGGAGCCGGGACGTGAATTTGTGCAGATGCCAGTCCCGCCTGATGGGGCTCAGTGACCTGCCCCCCGAGCTCCAGCTGGCACCAGGGTGTCACCCCCTTCTCTGTCCTCCATCCCATCCATACTACTAACCACGAACCATCAGCATCACCTGCCATGTAACAGACCCATCAGGGCAGCTCAAACAGGCCCAGAACAGCCCCAGTACCACAGAGCTGGCTGCTTACTGCCCTGGGGGCTAGAGCAGGGGGGCTGGGAGCTAGGATGCTTGGGGTCTATCCCAGCTCTGGGAGGGGGTGGGTTGCAGTGGTTAGAGCGGGAGGTGGCGCTGGGAGCCAGGAGACCTGGGTTCTCTCCCCGGCTCTGGGAGGGGAGTGGGGTGCAGTGGTTAGAGCAGGGGGGCTGGGAGCCCGGACTCCTGGGTTCTATTCAAGATCTGGGAGGGGAGTGGGGTCTAGTGGTTAGAGCGGGAGGGGGTGCTGGGAGCCAGGACACCTGGGTTCTCTCCCGGCTCTGGGAGGGGAGTGGGTTGCAGTGGTTAGAGCAGGGGGGCTGGGAGCCCGGACTCCTGGGTTCTATTCAAGATCTGGGAGGGGAGTGGGGTCTAGTGGTTAGAGCGGGAGGGGGTGCTGGGAGCCAGGACACCTGGGTTCTCTCCCGGCTCTAGGAGGGGAGTGGGTTGCAGTGGTTAGAGCAGGGGGGCTGGGAGCCCGGACTCCTGGGTTCTATTCAAGAT